AGAAGGCGAGACACTCCACCAATATGCTACCCACTACTAGGAGGAGGTCAACGAGGTAGAGGGGTACTCCGGAGTCATGGCAACTACTTATTTTCAACTTGGGTTGTCCTGAGACACAGACCTTTACAGATCCTTGATGAAGCGAATACCGATGGACATGGGTGAGTTGATAGCCTGTATCAACAAGTACTCCAAGGTGGAGGATGAGTTGACATGGAGTCGGGGAAGGAATTTGGCCCCAAAGACAAAAGAAAAGGAAAAAGACAAGATCCATCCTAAGAAAGGTTTGATTTTGGCAACAGAGAATTCTTTTAGAGGGGTCCACACTGTATACAAGGAACCTATCTACAAACTATTGCACAAGATCAAGAAGGAATTATTTTTCAAGTGGCCTTCCAAGATGAAGGGTGATCCCTCCTCCAGGATCTAGAATGCTAGGTGCTCTTAGCACGAGGATGTGGGACACCTCACCGAGGATTACCGAGTATACAAGTCTTTTCAAGAAAAGTTAGTTCAGGAAGGACACCTCCAAGAGTACATCGAGAAGGAAATACCGAGGGAAACCATTGTCGTCGTTGACCATGCCACTTCTTGTAACAATGTAATCGACGTCATTCATGTTTGCCCTCTGGAACAGTCGACAACCAACATTCTCAAGTCCGACTTGAAGAGAATCGCCTTTGTTAGAAAGATGAAGGAAGAAAAGGATGAAGGCCAAACGATTAAGAAGCCACAAGTGGATCAAAGTGGCATTAGTTTCTTAACTGCCGATCTAACTAGAATGGTCCTTCCCCACGAAGATGCCTTGATCATAACTTTGTGCATTTTGAACTTTGACGTCAAGATGATTTTGGTCGACTTAGGGAGTTCCTCGAAGGTAATGTATCGTGACGTATTCAAGCGGATAGGTCTTGGATCTAGAGATCTGACCCACGTCAAGATACCCATCGTCGGATTCAATGGGTCGTACGCCTTAGCTCTAGGTAAGATTACTCTGTCAGTCACCGTAGGACATGTTACGATCAATATGGAGTTTGTGGTGATCAATTATGATTCACCATACAACATAATCATGGGACAAACTTGGTTGCACTCATTTGGCACAATGCATTCCACTTACTTCCAGAAATTGAAGTTCACCACTCCGAAGGGGGAAATGGAGATCTATGGAGACCAAGCCTCATCAAAGAGTTGTTTTTATGCCACTATAAAATTCAGGGTCATATCCAAGGAGAATGAACTTGCCCCGCAAGAAGTGTTGAACAAATAGCAACTATAATTAGGGTGTCTAGTCATGGATGAGCCGCGAGGTAACCTAGCCGGCCGCTTAGTGATGGACCTCTAGAAGGTACTCCTAAATGAAGGTGATGAAGAGAGATACTTTTTGATCGGCTCAACGATGTCCACAATAGAGCAAGAAGAGATCTCGATCTTTCTACAAAGAATGTAGACGTGTTGGCATGGGATGCTGCAAAAAATGAAAGGCATAAGTCCTAACATCATAACCCACAAGCTTCATGTGTACACTAATCACAAGCCCGTCAAACAAAATCTTCAGCATTCGGTGCCTCATCACACCCAAGCAGTAAATGAAGAGGTAAAGCAGCTCCTGGAATTTGACGCCATCCGAGATGTGTAATTGCCCGAATGGTTGTCAAACACTGTCTACACGAAAAAAGTAGAGTGGGAAGTGGCATGTCTATGTCGATTTCATAGATTTGAACAAGGAATGTCCAAAGTATGACTATCCCCTCCCCAAGGTTGATCAGTTAGTCAATGCCACGACGGGATATGAATGCATGACCTTCATGGCTTCCTGAGCCAGTTATCACCAGATCCCCCTCCATTTGTCTAATCAAGAAAAGACCTCGTTCAGCACTCCAAGGGGGATCTACTACTATAAGTTCATGTTGTTTAGATTGAAGAATGTCGGTGATACCTATCATTGGTTAATAAACCCAATGATTAAGTAACAAATGGGGGGACACCATGGAAGTATACGTCGATGATATACTAGTCAAAAGTAAGCGTCGAGGTGATAATCTAGCAGACTTGAATGATGCCTTTGATACGTTTTTTAAGTATGAGTTGAAGTCGAATGTGGCTAAGTGTTCTTTTAAAGTTGGCTTTGGAAAGTTCCTGGGATATTTGGTGAGTCGGCGAGACATCGAGGCCAGCCCGGAGCAGATATAGGCTATCATGGATGTGTGTAGTCCCCGAACTATCCACGACATCCAAAAACTCACAGGAATGCTAGCCGCCTTGAACCGTTTCATATCCCGTTCATTGGATAAATGTAGACCCTTCTTCGGCACGATCAAGAGGTTTGGGAAAGATAGTTGGAATGAGGAATGCAAAAAAAGCGCTCAAAGTGATCAAGGAATACCTCGGGGTACTCCCAACCTTATCAGTTCTAGAGCGATGGGAGATGTTATTTCTCTAATTAGATATTTCCAATTTTTCCATCAGCAACATACTAGTTCATGAGTGCAAACAGGAATAGAAGCTGGCGTACTACGTGAGTAAATTCCTTCTAGACCCAGAAACGAGATACCTACCCTAGAAAAGATCGCGTTAGTACTAGTCACAGTCGCACGGATGTTGAGGCACTACTTCCAAGCATATCCCATCATGTCTTGATGGATTAACCTCTAAGGGCCATCCTGAGGAAAGTCGACCTTTCTGGAAGAATAGCAAAGTGGGCGGTGGAGTTAGGGGAACACGACATCCATTATAAACCCCGCACAGCGATAAAGGGTTAAGTCTTGGTAGACTTCATTGCCGAATTCACACAAGGAGAGCGTCTTCTGCCCGGGGAAACACCCTCAGAGTGGGAGCTAGGCGGACTCTTAGAAATTGTGTGTGGATGGATCCTCCAATAGCAAAAGTTCTGGAATTGGAGTGTTGTTGGTCTCCCCCGATGGATTGGTGACGAAGCAAGCTGTGCGACTAGGGTTCAAGTTGTCCAACAACAAAACTGAATACGAGGTTCTCATCTTGGGACTCAACTTTGCCAATGCAGCCAAGTCCTTTTTATTGTTAGTTTTTTATAACTTGCTACTGGTGGTCAACTAGGTCAATGGAGATTTTGAAGCAAGGGATCCGAGGATGAAGGCCTACCATAACAAAGTCATGAAATTGCTCCAGAAGTTCAAAAAGGTGGAGGTCAAGCAAGTCCCATTGATAGGAATTCTCTTGCCGACACATTAGCTTTCCTGGCCTTGGTGTTGGACTCTGAGGTGACCCAGAGGATCACGGTGGTGTATGTTCCTAGCTCTAACATAGATGATATTCCAAAAGCTCTGACAATCCAAGAAAGGGGAGAGACCCCTAGTTGGATAGATCCCCTTCTTAAATTACTTGTGATGGGGGAACACCCAAAATGTCCCAAGGAAGTCAGGAAGGTAAAGATGAAAGCACAAAGGTTCTGGGCCTCCTCGAGACTTTATTTACTCCATGTCAATGAAGATAAAGTCGAAACCCTCATGTATGAAGTGCACAAAGGCATATGTGGGAAGCACTCGGGCAGAAGATCCATGGCCCACTGAATCATGTCACAAGGATATTGGTGGTCATGCATTCAGAGAGATGTGCAAACTTACGTGTGAAAATGCTATTAATATCAAAGGTTTGCCCCGCTATCAGCAACCAGTAGGAGACTTGCACCCATAAATCAGTCCTTGGTCGTTCACTCAATGGGGGCTCGACTTGGTGGGACCCTCCCGAAAGACCCTAAAATAAGAAGGTCCTAGTAGTTGGGACTAGCTACATCACAAAATGAGCAAAGTCGAGCCATTAGCTCATCAGGGATACAGACACCAAAAGTTTTATGTGGAAGAACATAGTGACGAGGTTTGGGATCACTTGTGTACTCGTATTAGACAATGGGACTCAATTTAATAGCAGGCCTTTCAAATCTTTTTATTAGCATTTGGGAATTAGATCTACTACTCCATGTCTTCGTACCCCCATGGCAACAGGCAGGCAAAATCCTCCAACAAGACTATCATCAAAGGAATTAAGAAGAGGATACAGAAATCTAAGGAAAAATGGGTCGAGAAGTTTCTAGGCCTATAGAACGACTCCGCACACGTCGATGGGCGAGACAACTTATGCTCTCACTTATAGAATAGAGGCAGTTATCCCATTGGAGGTCGGTCTCCCCAATACAAGAAATCAAACTTTTTTACACGGGGAAGAACGGTCAATAACTCACCCGAGACTTGGATCTCATAGAATAAATGAGAGAAATGGTTGCCTTGCAGTTGGCAAAGTTTGGGGTGTCTAAAATCTACCACAAGAGAGTCAACCCATAAGAATTCCAAGTGGGTGACCTGGCGCTAAGAAAAGTGGTTGGGAACACACGTAATCTAGCGGATGGGAAGATAGGGCCCAACTAGGAGGGATCTTACAGAGTCATATCAATAGGAGGCTCCGGATCATACAAACTTGAGGGCATATAAGGAAATGTTGTACTTAGACCCTGGAATATAATAAACTTGAAAAAGTACTACTTTTGAATGGTTATGGCCCCGCAAGTGAGACGCGCTTGCCACCTTCACCGCCAAAAGACATAAGGGGATGGAACTTCCTGAAGGGGAATGGTCCCGGGGGCAAACACGTGTCAAAAACACTTCTGCCCCAAAAATACCGAGGGAGCAAAGCCTCTCGAAGGAATATGACCCAAGGGTGTAGGAGTGCCAAGTGCACTCATGGCCCGACATAAAAAGTTGACGCCTCCAAGACGAGACTGTTGTAAAATGCTTGTTGACTTAAGCATAGAAAGGGGAAGAAGATGTCTCGATCTTTCCCGAGGTTGGAGAGGCTGGAACATCGGCTCCTGAAAAAGGCATAGCCCCAACGTTAAATTAGAAACAAAAATAGTTAAGCAAAAGAGAAATGCATAATTGTATTCAAAGTTAAGAGGGCTTTGCATCCATCAGGCTACAAAATGGGAGAAGTCAACTAGCCACAAAAATAAGTAAAGGATGAAAAAAGGTCTAAGTCAGACCAGTGATGTTGCCCCCGATACCTCCCTCAATATCACCAAAAAGTACATCAACGCTAGCAAAGAGAGAGTCAGCGATGCCAACTAAAAGCATAATGTTGGTGGAAGTAGTAGAGACGTCGGTCTGGGGGATAGGAGCAGTGTTATCAGACGGAGGAATAACTGACAAATTCTGATCAGAAACTAGAGTGACCCTGGTATCTTCAGCCTGAACCTCAGCCGACACCTGTTCCATCTCGGCAAAAGGGTCATATTCATTTTACTTGAAGAGTGGGGACTCAGCAAGAACCCCAACAGCCCAAAATGCCTCATCTCATCCTTTCTTGAAGAACTCCTTTTCAACCTCCTCAAATGCCACCACTATGTTGTCGGCGCAGCAATTGACTATCTCCTCCTCCGATCGATTTCTAGCCTCCAACTCGAACCTTAATTTGTCCAGCTCTTGAGTGAGGGAGGCACAAGTATGCTCCAACTCTGACACCTTTGTCTCGGTTGCAGATGCCTGCTTCTCAGCCTCGGTCATTCTTTTCTCGACATCGGTAAGTAGAGCCTTGTTCTTGTCGGCATCCGTTTGGGCAGTCTGCCTTTCCTTGAAAAGCTCGGGGATCTATGTCCCCTGAGTCTCCAATGTCTTGTTTCAAGCTTCTACCTCCTCCTTAGCAACTTTAAGCTATCCTTGGCCCTTCTCAAGGTCGACGCAAAGTTTGTCGCACTCCTGAACCTTGGCCCGGTGTGTGTGGAAACACTCGCCGATAACTGTAACCTGTTGTGCCGCTTAAAAAATGAAAAAATGGGAAGTCAACCATGAAGGTTGAATTAACAAAGGAAAAATTCATAAGTATTTTAAGCTTACCACTGGAGAGTTTTGAATGAGGGACGGAATAGTTGATTGCTCCCAAACGCCTAGTGAATCTCTATGTCGGCTTCAAACTGAAGAGCTTCACTCATGACATAGGAAACATAAGGAGAGCCAACAATGGATTCAGACACCCAGACCGGCTTATTGTTGTGATCGGAGGCCCAAGCACGCCATTTAGGACCTAGTGGAGCAATTGGCCATGTATGACCGATGGCAAGCATCGGCGTAAGTGACAGTACACCTCTGCCATGACAAATGATGTAATGTCTTTGCTTAATCCTTCTCTCCTTAACTTGAGGATCTCTATTGTGGACATGGCCACAGCTGGGTGTCGGCATAACCGGCATGTCGGCGGATCACTCGTTGGCACTATCCTTAGGAACACAACCCCAGATGGACGAGTTTGTCCCTGGTGAGAAGAAGTGCCCCCAGGTCCCAAACCACGTCCTCAACTGGCTGTGAGGGCGACTCTAGCTTTGATATGTCAAGAGTAAGTTAAGGTTGGTTTGACATGGCGAGCTCTAAGGCATTTTCTTCCCCAAGGTTTTGAAGAACTTCGAAGTCAGGCCAGTTATCCCTGTCGGAGGTGCTCATCTTAGCATCGACGGTGGTGGCTTACACTTTTTCTGCTTCAGCTTCATCGATTGCTCCTTGTGCCTTCTCTACCTCGGCGTAGACAACTCGACCGAGGTCTTCCTCCAAGTTTCTACCAGAAAAATCCCTCCACATTGATAGGTTAAATACCGAAGGTGTCTGGAAAAATTTTCGGTATCCCAGCATGTAATCTAACAACACATCAGTAGCTTGGTCTAGACAATTTCCCACGTAGCCTCAGACGGTGAAGAGGTGACGAGATTGAAGAGGTTCTAAGGAGGAACCGATGACTCGGTGTCGATGACTCCTGCAAAAATATAAATGGAGAAAGAGTAAGAACAAAATATGTCAAGATATAGGAAACCAAAGAGAGAGAGGCAGACGTATTCATACTTTGTCATTGCTTGGGATACCATAAATTAGCTTACTCAGGGCCGACTCCTCTCTCCCATTGGCTGCCGAAGACAAGCAAGTCATCCTTGTACCCCTATCAGAGTCTAGCAGATTTGAGATAGAATTTTTGTTAAGGCATCACCCTCACCAAAGTGTAAGATATGAGAATATCCTCCAAGCTAAGATTGACATGGAGTCATTCATTTAGGGCAACCATTCCCATGATGATCCTAAACGTGTTTAGACAACATTGCCCTAGAAAGAAACGAAGAAGAATAGGGTGGAGTGGGAATCTTATACCGCACTCTATTATCGCCTTGTTAAAGAAGGGCATGGTTGCCTCAGTGCCGGTGTTGGCTTAATGGAGTCTGTGTATGAATTCATTGATGTTACCCTGATGGGGATTGAATGGTGGGTCTTGAAGCTTGTGATTTGCTAGCGACCTTTGACCATGTATTTCCTTTGTCTCGAGGGTCCAGCCTCATTGGCGCCAGCACCAACATTCTGACAACGTCACGTCATGGGACGATAGAAGGGGACTAGGGAAGATGGTCCTAGGGGAAGTCCGATGGAGGGAGAGTGAGACAAAGATAGGGCAATCACCGAAAAAAGAAAGAGAATGAGGTTACTCACCAATGGAAAAATTGAGACTCAGAACCAGGCCAAGGTAGGACTCGCCACATCTTCGTAGGCACAAACAAACCTTTGAAAGAGGGTGAGGATGATGGTCTACGGGCTTCTTCGGTGAACTCGAGGAAGACGATTGCCCTTTAATGGATAGTGGTCTCCTAGTATATTCTCGGACAAGCCATTCATAAGGTTCTCTCACGAAGCAAATTGACAAAACATAAGGAAGGTGATGTTTAAATATGGTAGGAGGCCATCATTACCCGCGATACACGATGAGCTGCAATAAATGCGGTACGGACCCCGAAGGCAGGAAAACAGTTGCATGTCCTTTATGAAAAGATAGGAAGTACAAGCCATTTCATCTTCATCCGACACGTCATCCAACCCGTATGAAGATCAAGGGCTGGGGGCAGTTAATGGGACATTTTCTTAATCAAGCGGGCAAGCGACATATGTCCTCGACGTCATTGGCTCACCTCAGCATATTGCCTCGGAGTGTTTGGGTTACCTTAGCGACCCAGTCTACCTCGGCGCTAAGAAGATCACCTCGGCATGTTTTCTCCCACTCTGTTGCTGTCCACCCAACATCAGCATCTAGGCAGGCATGCCAGCATGAGGTGAACAATAGCCTCGACTTCAGTCCCTGCCAAAAGATGAGCTTCGATCTCAATAAAATAGGAAAAGATCAACTGAGACAAGCATACCCAAGATCGAGGTAAAGCAACTTCTGAGCATCAGAGTTGACTACCAATCATTGGTCCCCCTCTCCAAGGCAATCAAAATGTTTAGAAAGGCAATTCAATGACCAATGATAAAGGTGTACGGGACAATTAATTCCTAACCCCTTGGAGGGAAATTTATGAAAATACCCTTGCGCGTGCATAGTCATGCCCAAGGCACATTAAATGATTCTACAGAAGAGTGGGATGTATTCAATGCTCGGTGGAGCCAAGAAGAGTGCATTAAATACTCGGGGATCCAAGTGCTGATCTACATAAGCTTTTGGTGCAGGGAAAAGCAAGCACTCTGATCGAAGTCTGCGCACCAAATGTTGTCCTCTGTACGAACCAACCAGGTGTTTTCCCTCCAAGGTAACCCAGCTGTCCGCTTTGATCAACTCCTAGAATGTATAAATAACACTCTCATGCTCAAAGCTAAAGTATGCAACCCCTTGCCCAAGCAATAGAATAGTCAAAAACACTTCTGCCCCAAAAATACCGAGGGAGCAAAGCCTCTCGAAGGAATATGACCCAAGGGTGTAGGAGTGCCAAGTGCACTCATGGCCCGACATAAAAAGTTGACGCCTCCAAGACGAGACTGTTGTAAAATGCTTGTTGACTTAAGCATAGAAAGGGGAAGAAGATGTCTCGATCTTTCCCGAGGTTGGAGAGGCTGGAACATCGGCTCCTGAAAAAGGCATAGCCCCAACGTTAAATTAGAAACAAAAATAGTTAAGCAAAAGAGAAATGCATAATTGTATTCAAAGTTAAGAGGGCTTTGCATCCATCAGGCTACAAAATGGGAGAAGTCAACTAGCCACAAAAATAAGTAAAGGATGAAAAAAGGTCTAAGTCAGACCAGTGATGTTGCCCCCGATACCTCCCTCAATATCACCAAAAAGTACATCAACGCTAGCAAAGAGAGAGTCAGCGATGCCAACTAAAAGCATAATGTTGGTGGAAGTAGTAGAGACGTCGGTCTGGGGGATAGGAGCAGTGTTATCAGACGGAGGAATAACTGACAAATTCTGATCAGAAACTAGAGTGACCCTGGTATCTTCAGCCTGAACCTCAGCCGACACCTGTTCCATCTCGGCAAAAGGGTCATATTCATTTTACTTGAAGAGTGGGGACTCAGCAAGAACCCCAACAGCCCAAAATGCCTCATCTCATCCTTTCTTGAAGAACTCCTTTTCAACCTCCTCAAATGCCACCACTATGTTGTCGGCGCAGCAATTGACTATCTCCTCCTCCGATCGATTTCTAGCCTCCAACTCGAACCTTAATTTGTCCAGCTCTTGAGTGAGGGAGGCACAAGTATGCTCCAACTCTGACACCTTTGTCTCGGTTGCAGATGCCTGCTTCTCAGCCTCGGTCATTCTTTTCTCGACATCGATAAGTAGAGCCTTGTTCTTGTCGGCATCCATTTGGGCAGTCTGCCTTTCCTTGAAAAGCTTGGGGATCTATGTCCCCTAAGTCTCCAATGTCTTGTTTCAAGCTTCTACCTCCTCCTTAGCAACTTTAAGCTATCCTTGGCCCTTCTCAAGGTCGACGCGAAGTTTGTCGCACTCCTGAACCTTGGCCCGGTGTGTGTGGAAACACTCGCCGATAACTGTAACCTGTTGTGCCGCTTAGAAAATGAAAAAATGGGAAGTCAACCATGAAGGTTGAATTAACAAAGGAAAAATTCATAAGTATTTTAAGCTTACCACTGGAGAGTTTTGAATGAGGGACGGAATAGTTGATTGCTCCCAAACGCCTAGTGAATCTCTATGTCGGCTTCAAACTGAAGAGCTTCACTCATGACATAGGAAACATAAGGAGAGCCACCAATGGATTCAGACACCCAGACCGGCTTATTGTTGTGATCGGGGGCCCAAGCACGCCATTTAGGACCTAGTGGAGCAATTGGCCATGTATGACCGGTGGCAAGCATCGGCGTAAGTGAAAGTACACCTCTGCCATGACAAATGATGTAATGTCTTTGCTTAATCCTTCTCTCCTTAACTTGAGGATCTCTATTGTGGACAT